TCTTGAGATATCTTGCCAACCATCAGCAAAACAGAGCTCTACATATCTTATATCCCCGCCATTCTTTTTTTTCTTAATTTTTAACATTGTAAATTGTTCATAAAAGTACTATGTATTATATGTAGAATAAAGATTATTTTATTATACTTAATGTCTGTGTCAAAAAACAATTTAAATTTATAGCTATTTTTCCGAGCGCCAGGGTGATGTAACCTCTTAAACTAATAAAATATAGCATATCGAATTTCTATTGCTTCTTCTTTGTTTACTTGACAACAATATGAGCCACACTTGGATCGCCTGGTTACTAATAACGAAAAGTGGATTATGTATGACAATGTAATGAAGAAAAGAGTTAAGGTGATACCAGGCAGTTCGCCTCCTACCCTTGCATAGCCAATTTGCACCAAGAAAAGCTAATATTTTACATTTGGTAAGATTGTCGAGATTCTATTCACTGGAAAATATTGCAACCAGATCAAATTGTCACAGGAAACCTATATTGTGATCAACTAATCCGACTGAATACAAAAATACGTGAATTTCGTTCAGCACTGTATAACCCAAAAGGTGTTGTCTTCTAACATGACAATGCCAGATCTAACAAGGCTTTATAGACGAAGGAGAAGCTCCAAGCTCTTGATTTTGTAGTTTTATCACATCCATTATACTCACCTGATCTAGCACCATCTAACTACTGCTTGTTCGACCCAATGTAAATGTTCTTAAAGAAAAAAATGTTCTGAGGATATTTCCTGATTTCAAAAGATAGGATCTTTTATACATCAGGTATAAATGACCTTGTTGACAAATGGAAGAAGGTCATAGAAAACAGTGGTTAATATTACATTAATTAATCTCATTTATGAGTTTAAATATAAGAAATTAAAATTTCTTTAAAAAGACGTCTTGATTTTCTTACCAACCTAATATTGTAGTTAAAATAAATGTTCATTAAAATAAATTAAAGCTTTTAGTTAATGTTAATTATGTATATATTCATTATAAAATTATAATGAAATCTTCCTTATGTGGGTATTTTTATTTAAAAGGCTTAAAAATAAATACAATGGTTAACACGTATAATAAAAATTAGGAGTACTAATATTATTACGTTATAATTTATTTAATAAATTGTATTTGAATGAAATTTTAATATATCTACAAAATCTAAATTTATTTAATTATGATGGTATCCATAAAAAAAGAAAAATTTTCAATTGTAAGATGCAATAAATCTTTTTTGATGAGAAATCACCCTAAGCTTTTTTGAAAATTCGCACACACATGTATGATTCATAATACTTAAAAAACATATCAACGATACCACAAAGTTCGCCTTAATAAAGATGGCTGCGACTAACGTGGAATGTGTCGATTTTTTAGAATTTCAGGTATATTTGTAATAAACTATAACGTAATAGTGAAAAAAATATATTCTATTAATTAATATAATTATATTATATAACGTCTATGTTATACAACACTTAAAATAACGCAATAGAAATAATTTTTAAAACCCATGCTTAGATTTAGATTTTTACCGGCTGATAGTATTAATTGCATTTTATTAATGGAAATCTGTAGATTAGAGATTTGTTTAAATTTATAAATAAAAATGGATGTCAAAATATTACAATTAATATTTGTCGTTATTTATGACGATATAAATGATTTGCTTTTGATAAAGTAAAAAACCGTTCCTTTTTTAAGGTTAGTTTAATTATTTTTAAACAATAGTTCATGTTAACATCAACGTTAATGTATCTCGTAATTGATAATAATATAAATGATTCGGTTTTTTGAATTACAGAAAATGTTTCTTTTTTATAGGTTAATCTTAATCGTTTTGTAAAAGTAATTTTATAATTAAATACTAATATACGTGTGAATTGTGATGTATTAAAATATATTTGTTTTTCTTTTGTTTATATTCCAGGATACGTTAAAAAAAATGAGACAATTCGATGATAAAATTATCTACAAGCTAAATGAAACTATTCCAACTGAATCATTTAAAGGGCAAATAAATTTATCATCGAAGTGTGAAGAATTATTTGAAGAAGTTCAGAATAGTCATATACAAAGAGAAAGTGCTATAAACAAATGTTTACTCGCTGCCAAAGAAAGAGTGAAATATTTGAAGAATCAAAAAGACAGTCAAGGAGATAATCCAATATTTATAAAAAATTTAAGAAAAGAACAGACTAACTTACGCTTACTACAATCAGAGCTCAGCGTTGAAGAAGTTTTGAAAAACCGTACAATGAACGCTTTTCATGATAAGTGTCGTGGTTATTACAAGCCAACGAATGTATCCTTATAAAATTTTTTTTAATAGAATTCTTCTGCATGATGATGTATAATTTATATAAAAAATAATGTATGTAATAGTTATTACAATAAAAAGTATATATGGTTTGCTCTATGGAGAGATCAATATGGAAGAATTCTTGATTCTCTTGTTACAATGTATAAGTTACTTAGTTGTGTAATAAAGAATTTAAAGTTTAATTATAACAACGAACAAATATAAAATATTTTGTTATATATACATATAATGGAAATTTGCTATTCATTGTCTTTATGATACATATTTTATATAAATAAAATATAATAAAAAGAAACAAATGAAAACACCAAACAGTTACGAACAAAATACATTTCACAATTTAAAAAATATTTTTCCCTAACATTAAAAAGAATATGGTATAAATGACACTTTAATGCATCTATATATGTACATATGACAGTTATATTATTGAAATATAAAGAAATTTGCGTACTCATATATATATATATATATTTTGGTTACTAAGGCTACTTCATAAAAATAGTTTTTATTTTTACGTGTAATAAATACAGTCGACTATTTTTCAAAACTAATCTAAATAGTAATATCATTGTAATACCATAACACTTCATAATTTTTAAAATACTGCATATAATAAAAGTGTATATTTGTATATTCTAATTTTTATCATGTTATATAAATTAGTATCTATATAAAATGAAAAAACAACATCGATATAGATTTTAAGTACTTCCATTTTTATTAGTAGCTTCTGCATGTTCTTCTCGTAAATTCTTTTGCCAGTCTTGATCTATTTTAAAAAGAGTATTCCCTGATGCCACTTCTTTTTTCCCGCTTACAGCGGCAATTAAAAATCCTATTAGTGTGATTACTATCATAATATTACATATGCGTACTCTAACTTTGGATCGTGCTTGCAACATACAATCAAGTCTATTGAGAATAAACAAAAAAATAAAGAAAATTTTGTTATTCATAGAATATATTATAATACAATGTTAATATACGAATCAAAGAACGAAAGATATTTTATAATAACGCTAATATTATCATCAAACTTACGTCACTTGAGAAGGTATTTCAGCCATGGATGGATATCGTTTCACCCACACTAACATCCTTTTGTCTAGATTGGTAGGAGCATACATGTGAGGCCCTACAAAAATGAAGTTATAAAATTATCTAATAAATTCTTTTATTCCTTCTTAGATGAATCATTTATTTTTTACCTAATCTTTGAACAGGATCAGGATTACTTTTGGTTTCTACTTTAGGGCCTTGTGTCGACATAAATTTATTCTTTCCTTTACCATTACAATAAACTTGTCTTATTACTCTGGATAATATTGAACTGTATGTTAACTGCGTCATAGTTATTTATCTGTATATATCTGTATGCATATCAAAAAATTCATATTGTAAAAAAAAAAAATACTTTTCCTTTTTTAAAATGCTAATTTGCTATTTTTAACAAAATTTTATTGTCAATGTGTTTACAAATAAACAATATTCATAATAAAAAGGAAGTTAAACTTAATTAAAAATTATGATGATCAATCATTAATCATTTTTTGTCAATCACATATTATTGGTTAAATTCTAATAATAAATGTTTTTTAAATAGAGATTTTACGCCAATACAAAAAATAGAAATAGAACAAGTTATTAAAAAAGTTGGTTATTTATTTTAGATTTTGATCAATAAAAATTGACATTATTTCATTAAAAATGACTTTTATTTTGTATAGTAATTTTATTACGTACAATATTGCTTACCTTATATAATTCACTCTGTGACATTACAGATTAAAACAAGCTTATAATATCTTCCACTATTTAACCTTTAAGAAATACGTATGTATCATTATAATGCGCGATCCCTTCATTTTTTGATTGTATATATAGGCTATTGTAACAGTAGCGTATGAATAGAAACGAAAAACTGTATCGTAAGAAATTCATCATGATTTTCTTTTCAATTGTGAGAAATTGATAAACATTTTATTTAAATATTCAATGCATTTAAATTATTCACATAAATATTAATAAAGTATAGACAAAAAAATTAAAGGAACAAAATTTAATTTATAAAATACTTTTATTATCTTTTATTATATCTTATTATCTTTTTTTATTTTATCTTTTATTATATATTAATACTAGTTATTATCAATTATTGTTTAACAACGATTATAAAAAATATAATAAAAAATATAAAATAATTTTAATAACTGAAAGAATATTTTTACACGGGTGCTTAAAAATCTACGTGCTTTCCTGAGGTATCAACTACCCGCCTTTTTTGACATGGCTACGTGCAGATCATCGCGTCTTCAAAATGAACTGTAATGAACTTGTTTCAATTGGAAATTCTTCTCGAAGTCTACTTTTACTTTACAACTATGATTCATTTATTAAACTACCGACTTACGAGAAAACAGGCTTGTCCTTTTATATTTTTTCGAAAAAGAAAACGAGACCAACGCAGTTATAAGCAATGTAGCTATTTAATAATTAGGGATTTTTTTATCGGAAATTGATAGAGTAATTGTCGATTATTCATGTAATATTTTCTTTTTAAGTTTAATTAATCCTAAATAATTAGACGTATTCCGTATTTAAATATTTTTCTAATAAAGAATTATTATTTAATAATTAAATATTATTTCTTCTATTAAATATTAATATTATATTAATATTTTGTAGTATTAGTATTTATATTGAGTTGTCTGAAAAGTTCCTACCGATTAATATTTTTATTAAATACAAATAATTTTTCAACAAGTCAGTACAAACATTCTGGACAACTTAAGATTAAATCGATCAATTTAAATATCTTCGAAACTATTAAGTTGAAGCATCTACTTTTGAACACCTACTAAGGAAAGGTAATTATACTAATCGCGTACAATATTACTAAATATACCAATATGACTAATCAATATTAAAATTAAAATATCTTATAAACTAATGATTTTTCATCATAACTGGTTAGAACTTTTATGTAGGGAATAAAAACCTGCATGAACTGGTATATTAAAAAGTATATGATTCTATTTAAAAAATCAAAGTTGACCTTTATGTGACATTTAAAGGTTCACCTACAAAAAAATAAATAATATCAGATAATGTGCCCCCTTAAATCATTCAACTTTTGTCTAACACATTTGTTTCTACCATTAACAGTTTCGAAAATATTTAAGTGGATCGATTTAAACGGGGCATCCTGTATATTATTAATTATAAGTATTAAAATAAATTTGAATATATATATATATATATATATATATATATATATGTGTGTGTGTGTATATATATATATATATATATAGTGCTGTAGGAGGTGGGGGTATTGTAAAAGATGGGAGTATTGTAAGAGATGAGGATAGTGTAGAGGTAAAGAAATAGAAGATTCAAGCTTGAGTATATTTTTAAAGTTTATCATATTCATAAACAGAGATTATTTCGATTTATTCTGAATCATCTATCAGCATCGCATGTGTAAACTTCTTTGAATAAAGTGTTCATTAAAAAAAAAATAAGTCAATAAAAACAAAAACCAATGTATTCGTTAAAAAATAATTCAATTTCAACGTTAATTTTACTCCAATTGAATTTATTAATTACTATAGTTTTAGTAAAATCTTATATAATACCAGAACCGTTGTTTGAAGTACTTAAACCACAAGGATTACGTATTTCTATACCAGGTAAATTAAATTAATTATTGCATATAACGGATAATTCTTATTAATAATTGAAAATAAAATATCACATTGCTATTATGTTATTTCAATTATTTTAAATAAAATGTAATGTCCCTGAAAAATTTGACAAATAAATCATAAAAACTTTCAACATAAATTATTGAATGTATATAAATAATATCTTTCAAATAATAAATTATTCTTCCAAAATAAATTATTGGAAGAATGATGCATCATCTAAGGTGAATCCCCGTAGTTTTTAATCTTGCGATCATAACGCATTACCGATGTTCGTTAAGCGAAGAAGGAAGAACATTTTTTTTTAGACGATGTAATCATTGTTATCGCTAGGTCATACTACATCGATCATTTGCTATTTATATATTAGTAATCGATTATAGTTTCTAAATACTATTCACATTTATTGAAAATAATTTTAGATGAGAAAAAAAAGGTTTGTATTATATAAAATTATATATATTTAATTTTTTGCTTAAATTAAATATATGTCTGTGTTAACAGATGAACCGGGATTGCAATATTTTACGTTTCACGGAAATATAAATAGTCCAATATTATCGGAGGAAGTTGGACAATTAACAGATGATGTTTTTCGAGCAAAAAATGGACGATGGACGTTAGAAAAAAAAGATCTTATCATACAAAATGGAGATATTATTAATTATTGGATATACGTGCAAGTTAATGGCGCTCCTTTTAAAAAACAAAATCAAAGTTATACGATTAACGGTAAATTAAATTTAAATACCTACAATATTATTATTATTATTCAATTATTTTCTAATAAATTAATCATATTTATTTAATAATTTCTTTACAGCACTGGACAGTTCAAAACCAACTACAATTGTATCGTCTGTTACACCTACAATTGCATCTCCTGTAAAATCAACAGTTAGTTCACGTCCTGAAAAAGGCCAATTGATATTAAACGAAGATTTTAATTATTTAAATGAATCGCTTTGGTCTCGCGATGTAAAAATACCGTTAGAACCTGTGAGCACGAATTTTTGATATTTAATACTAATCGATGATACATAAGAAATTTAAATGGAGAACTGAATATTTGCCTAATTTTTTATGTTTTTATCTTAGGATTACGAGTTTTGTGTTTATCACAATGACAATCATCCATATCTTGTTAAAATTATTGATGGGGTTCTTCGTATTCAACCGGTTATTTTAGAAGATTTGTATGGAATAAATGTAACTCTTTATGGAAAATTAAATCTTGCTGGGTATATTTTTTTCTATTTCTATTTATAATTAATATATGTATGATTAAAATGTTATTATATTTTTGTATTTTGTATTTTTTAAGTTGCACCAGCAATATCCCTCAAGAATGTTCACAAAACGCTGTAGCTTTTAACATTTTACCTCCAATTATATCAGCCAGATTGAATACAAAAACTCGATTTGCATTTAAATATGGTAAAATTGAAATTCGTGCTAAATTTCCTGAAGGTGATTGGCTTTATCCAGGTCAGTCAAAATTATATCTAATAATTTACATTCTTTAAGTTAAAAATAATCATTAAATATTGATTTATTTAATCGATAGAACTTTGGTTGGAACCACTTTACTCTCTTTACGGTCCAAAATATGCTAGTGGTCGTGTTCTTCTTGGTTTTACTCGTGGGAATGAAAATTTGGTCGATGCCGAAGATTTTGGAAAAATTTTCGATGCGAGAAAATTAGAATTTGGTTTGAGATTAGGTTCCTCAACGATTCACGAAGAAACTGTTCACAAAATAATGGATCGTGGTTCTCGATGGAATCAAGATTTTCATGTTTATACAACTATTTGGAATGAAAATGGATTTGAATTTTTAGTGGATGGTGAAGAAATTGGTCGTTTAACTTCTACGACAAAAGGAATCTGGTTACACCAGTTTAATATTAGTAGTATAACAAACATTTCTCCGTTTGATCAAGAAGTAAGTTTATGATAATTATATAAATAATTATTATTATCTATAGTGTAACGGGTTAAAAGAAACATTTTTTTACAGTTTTATATCAGTATTGGTGTAGGTGTTGGTGGTATAAGAGTTTTCCCAGACAAAACAATCAGTTCTGGTTTTATCAAACCTTGGAAAAATGTTGGCGCAAAGGTTCGATCTTCTTTCTTCAAAACAATTCATTTATTTATTCAGCAGAATAAAATTTTATTAATATCTTTCATTAATTATAGGCAATGATACAGTTCTGGAATTCCAGAAATCAATGGTTGCAAAGCTGGAGACGAGAGGACAGCCGCAAAACTGCTTTGGAAATCGATTATTTGAAGGTTTGGTCGTTGGAATAAAAGTTGAACGATCTCAAAAGAAATAATCTCGAAGGAAGTCATTATTATATAGAAAAAGAATTATAACTGCAATTTATAATCATTTTTGATCATTTTTCTAACATTTCGTACCCATAAAATATTTTTTAAATACGCATTAAGAAGTTAATAATAAATTATTATTATTATAATTAAGAGTAATAAATCTCTTTGAAAACTTGTTTTCTTTTGTTTATGTGTGTATGGTATTTTATATTTAAAAAAAATGTAATTGTTAAACACCCATACACATAAATTTAATCAGTGTTTTGTTACTCTAAAAATAACCGGTTTACTATAAAAACGGCATATTGACCTTCGATGTTAACACATTGTTAATCTGTCTCGAATTAACTCGTATTTCTGTAGCCGAACGTCGCTGACCGGTCACGAGTTAACTCGTGATGCGCTTTTTTCGCATCACGATATTTAAAAGGAAAACGCAGCGAAAATAAATATTACAATAATAACAGATTTTTTTGTACTATTGTTATACTGTTTATCATACGAAGAAGAAATATTCAAAGTCTAATAATAAGTAAAATTTATTAAAAATTACTTATATTGTTTTACTTTTCAATTAAATTACAAAGTAATAGCCGATGACATGAGATAAATTCTTAAAAAAATAGCCGGTCAACAATGTGTTAATACGAAACTGGTTTACTTAGATTGATATTAAAAAAAATAAAGATTTTTATCTTTTCTTCTCGATTTATGATGATTTAAACATAAGCGAATATACGAAATGTCTAAAATGAATACATTTAATGAAAGTTAATATGAGCTTTAATTATCTTACTTTTGAAAAATTTGTGAAATAAATTCGAATAATAAAATCTCCAGAGATATAGAGAATGATCTTAAACTGGCTATACCACCCTATCTAGTTTCCTTTCTTTTTTGAACATGAATCTTAACATTTTTTCTTCTACATTCTTCAGTTGTCTGACATTTGTGAAGTATCGGTGTGAACAAAACGTATCTCTCCTTACAATCTTCAAATACTATTTATTTTTTTATATAATTATATTTTTCAAGAAATTATTACTGAAAAAATTGTTTGATCCATTTCGTTACAAATGATAAATATAAGAAACATACTCGTAATTAGTGTTTTCTTGATTTTGATTTTAAATGATGAATCTTCCGCGAGAACTTTTTATCATCCGAAATGATCGAGTGATTATGAATTATTTCTAATTTTCTGATTAATTAATTAAAAATAAAAATAAAGATTATTTTTTGCAGATGAATTTATCCTACGAAAGTGTATCGCTAATGTTGAATTAATTAAAACGCATTTAGCTGAAAGAAATAAAATACGATTAATTTCATCTGATATATATATATCTTATAATATTGATGAAACTGCTACAATGCAACGAAATAATAAACGAATTAAATCACGCAACAATGATCGACAACGTTTAAAATTTGCAAATATTGAAGATATTAAATTGTTCTCTTAAAACTGTTAATATTTTTGATTACTACTTGATACTTAAAGATAAGCATTTAATATTTCAAAAGAAAAATACCTGAGCTTTAACATAATGCACTCAACAATGCATTTGAAATGCCGACTAATGTTATTACCATTAAATCATTATAATCATAAAAAGATATTGTTCTTTTTGCCAGAAAAATAGTAGTTCTAATAAAATCATTGGAAATAATTAGTCACGCGTAATATATGATGGACTTAAAAAAGTGAGTATGAATATGTAATATTTTTTATTCTTTCGTAGATAAAACTCTAAAAATATGTAATTTATAAATTACAGATAAATTATTTTAACGAGTGATTTCGTTTAACTTACTATATGCACTGTGGTTATATATCTTTAATAATTTATACAAAATTAAATAACAATCGGTGGCGTTTGTATAGATTCTGGTAACTTTTGTAATTCAACCTATGAAAGAATTTTTTAATTGAAAAAAAATATGTAAATATTGAGAATAAAATGCATATTTAAACAAACCTTTGTAACTTTCATCGCTACACCTTCCGGTAAATTTCTTTGAAGATATTCTAAAAAAGTATCTGCAGTTGATCCAGTCAGTTTGACAAAATCCATAAATCTGTAATAAGTTCTGGTTTCATATTGTACGCGATGTTTTTTATGTACATGTACAGACTTTAATACCGTTAGTCGTTCATGAATAGGTTTTCTTGGCGTCGTACTTTAAAATAAAAATATATACATTTTAATTGATTGATTTATATTATAAAAACATTATTATAAAAAAATAAAAGAAAGATAAATAAAAACTTACTTTCTTAACATATTAATTCCTAAATGGTTTGCAGTCATTTCAGTAAATTGACCATAACTTTTAAGTACTGCAGGATCATTTCCTCTTACTTCAATTTCTATTTTTTTATATAATTTGTCAGGATTAGGCTAGAAAAAATACGCATCAAACATAATGTTATTAAAAAAACATATAAATACCTTCAATATATTTATATTTAAATCCTCGTTTTTTTTACTTTCACTAATGCGGAGAAGGGTTTTGTTAAAATTCCAATACGTCCAGTTTCTCGACAAATTGTATCACTTATAATAATTCTGAACATAGTAGAACCAACCTACAAAAGAAATTGTATAATTAACCTAACCTTTTAATTGTCAAATGATTTAATATTACCTTAAAAGATAACATTTTTATGATATCACTTTAAAAATAAATAAATTTTATTAACTATAAAATTGTTTTGACACATAAAATTTTAATTTTAATATAAACTTATATATTAATATTTGTATCTACGCGAATAACTATCTAACTTCTAAACGATCGTGTTATTAATGTAGGCAGTGATCCCCAATGATCCCAGAGACTTTAGTTCGTCTGATCGACACAGAGGCGTAAAATTATCGTACACACCGGAAAATTATCGTACGCACAGGAAAAAATTTGGAATTTTCGGTTTGACACTCCTGATTTTCTGAAGATTAGTTTTTAGATTTATAAATTTTATAATTTTTACATTTTCAAATCTGCAAAAAGAGTAAAAGTACCAACTTTTTCAAACTTGATGACCTTTTTTTTTAGGTCCTCAAGTTCGTTTCCGTATCTTTCTTTTTCCTATTTTCTGTTTTTCAGTTTTCAGGTTTTTCTTGACTTTTAATTGGTTTACGAGCTATTTTCATTTGTTACCTGGCTGTGGTCATCAAAAAATTGTCTAACTGTGTACGGTAGGGTGCGCTACGACCGACAACCGAATCGCGGAACAAAAACAAAATCAAGACATCGAAATTTCGAATTGTCGTTAATTACATACAAGCTGAATTTTGGATCGTACAAGCTAAATTTTGGATCGTACAATGCTTCAAATTATGTGACGCGTACAAGAATTATTTTACGAATAGTATCACTGCATTAGGGATCCTGTAGGAGGGATGCGCCATTCATATTCAGCTCATGTGCCATTGGCTGAAAATTTTGGGGGACAGCTTGAATTTATAATAATTTTTTCATGTAATCTATTCTATTTTAATATAAATTTTTAATTATCATTAAATATAGTTCTTTTTTTTCTGTGTTTGATGCAATTCATTATTTTATAATTATTTCAACGTTTAAATCATTCGCGCGCAAAATCGAGTTCCGGTCCCTCAAAAATGTACATGGCGCATCCCTCCTATAGGATTCCTATCGTACCGTAGGATCCCTACGGTACGACCGAAGGTCGCGTTCTTTAAGGTTACTAGAAGGCTAGGGAACCACGCTAACAAGAAGTAATCACTAGTCTGTACGTAGCCGTTGAGAAGTGTACAAGAAAGAAAAGCAAATCGCATCCTTTAAATAAAAATAATAAATAAAATTCAGTCTAATATTACTTTTACTATAGAGAAACCCTCTACAATGTCAAGTTTATAACGTCATATTTTTCATTGACAATTGTTGGCAATACTGCATCATTAGCAATTGTATTAATGTTTTTTTAATTTATAAAAAGTAATATTTCTTTAAAAATGGTAAATAAATGTATTGTTCACGGGTGTACAAGTGGATGAGTCAAGGATCGTAATAAGAATATTAAATTAAATTAGAGAAATACGTCTTTATTCACTTTACCACAGGTAATATAACCTTAATTGATAGTTATTAATTACTAATATAAAAAAATGCAATGATGCAAATGGTAAAAATTCTAGTCTTGTAAAAAGTGCAATTTACGATAATAAATTACAATTTACTTTTAATTGGACTTTTTAAATTTAGTTTTCCATCCTTTACTCAACTACGACTAAGTAAGATGAAATTGAATAGATTTACACAACAAGTGGACGATAATATCTCGGGAATAATTGTAAAATAATAAAAAATTTTTTCTTATTGTTATTTTTAACGTTAATTATAAGATTTGGTTAATTTATTTTGACTAACGCGTGAGTACAATTGTTACATTCCCGTGATAATAAACAAGGTTTTAAAAACCTGATATTAGCCACATTAACGCGGTCTAGTGGCATAATATCTGTCCTGTCATTTTCGAACATTTCTAATACATTGCGATCGCCCTCCTGTTATCTAGGCTCCGTGATCGGAATTGTAAATGAAACCAGCATAACCACGAACGAGTGCGAGAATTTGCGAGTAGGTATTTTAGTACTATTCAGTACTCTAATCTGTAATTGCCGTCAGTTGTAATAATTGCTGTAAAAAATACGTAAGTGTGTATATGCGTCCAAATGGCTTGGCTGTCAGATATTACAGATAAAGTAGAGGACCTATTGAATAAGATAGATAAAAATAGTGCAACTGTTTTGAACAGTGATTATTGGAAGCGGTAAATATTAACGTTATTTTTGTAATGAAGTGCTCTATATATACACTTAACAAACTAGATATTAATTTAAGGGATTTTCAAATATATTTTTTATAAGAACTATTTATTTATGTCCATTTCAGCTACGATAATAATATTATTACCAAATCTTCCTTGGAAAATTCAAAACAGTTTACACACGAAGATAATTTTCTCGAATATTTAAATACATCATCCAAAGGTGTGACAAACACAGCAATTGAATCTGAATTGTCATCGCCAATATCTTCGTTATTAATGGATCGGTCCACAAATAATGTAGATCCCAGATTGCAATCGTCCACTCAGAGTAACGAATCAAATCCAGAAAACTCATCTACTTCTACAAATGCAATTGATACTGAAAATTACAATTTGGAAAATGATCTACAAATTAGAAATGTGCATTTAAGAAATCAAATGCACAGATATCAAGATAATGCTTTCCATACGCAAATGCTACAAAGAACTGCAGATAATGGTAATAACATGTGATTATTAATTATTCATTAAACTTTCTATTTTATTATGGTATATTGTGAAAATTCATTTTTGTTTGTTGTTATTTTCTTTAATTTACTTCTAGATCATACTTTGGAAGCTGTCGAGCCAAAATATTCATATGATTCCAAATTGCAATTATTAGAAACGGATGAATTAATGATTTCACCTGATTCTTTATTAAAATCTTCATCTGAAACCTTAACAGATCATCAAAAACAAATTATAGTGTTAAGCAATAAGTTACAATCCTTAAGAACTACAAATGTCCAAATATTAAAAGAAATGGCAGATTTACAAACTGCTCTTAGTAGAAGTAGATTAGAATTACTTTCAACTAGATCTGAATTAGAACAACATAAAGCAAGAGCTTTTAGAATACTACAAGACAAAGAGAAACTAATAGCAGAGTTAAGGCGAAGTGAATTTGCAGGCATAGATGATGCTACACTTGTGGAATTGAAACAATTGAGGTAATAATTACTAAACTATATTTCTTAATAATTCCTTAACAAAAAATCTATTTAAAATTTATTTCCTTTATTCAATAAACATGTACATAATATTATAGGCAAGAGCGCGATCTCCTCAGAGAAGAAAATCAACAGACTCATGAACAATTAAGAACAGTACGCGATGAATTAAACGTTAGCGACCTTACTTTAGAAAAGATGAGACAAAGATATAATGAAGTCAATTTAAAATTTCAAGAAAGTCTTGCGAGCGAAAGACAAAGAAGACAAGATGCGGAAGAAATTGCAAGATTACACTCAGAGGTAATACATAGTATGCAATTAAAGATTCTTCAATCGTAAAAAAATAAAAATGAATAAAATAATTTATTTTAGGAGATAAGGTCGTTAAAAGATGAAATGATTAATCAACAAAATAATTATACTATACAAATACAAAAACAAGATGCAGAAATATCGAGACTCCGTTTACAAGTGTCCGCAACGTCTACACCAAATAGCGAAGTAGAATCTAGATTAGCAGCTCTTACACAAACTTTAGTTCTAAAACAACAAGCATTAGAGAACATAACTACAGAACGTAATGCATTACGTCTTCAGTTTGAAAAGCTAGAAGTAAGTTAAGTAGAATATAAAATGAATATCTATTTAAATTATAATCATTTATTTTACTTCTAGCACGAGTTCAGAACTATTATAAGAAATTCCAATAGAAATGTAACGTACAGTAATACAAATGATAATGATGACATAAAAACTCAAGTTCCTATGTTTTTAATGGAAACACCATTCGATACTGGTGTCACGAGACGAGTGAAAAGAGCTTATTCATCATTGGATGCTATTAGTATTCGTACAGGAGTTTTTTTGAGACGATACCCACTTGCAAGAATTTTAGTTTTAATTTATATGGTCAGTATATAGTCAAAATCTGTTATTGCACATAAACATCCATTAATTACTTTTTGCATTTTTTTTAGGCATTACTTCAATTCTGGGTTCTTGTGGTACTTTTTTCGCAATCGCCAGAAGTACATTGATGTTAATTAAGGCACTGGAAATTTTTGTTATTTGTATATAGATACTTATCTTCACAGATATTTAAATTTTATATTTATTATTACATAGATATTATATATATATTTAAAGTTTATTGATGATATTTAAGAGGGTATGATTTAGAAATATATGTGGGCTGTCTTGAATAAATTTAATCAATATCAATAATCAATTAATAAAAATCTATTTAAACATTTGACTTTTATTTTCAAATATTTTATGATAAGAAATTACAAATTATAGAAATGTTGCAACTTTCCCTAAAGTGACAATGTTAAAATCTAATAAACTTTCTTAGAGATATGAACTTAGATTATTTTGATATTATCCCAGATCTTATGAAATTCTAATTTCTTGTTGATACTTAACCAGGAAAATAGACAAAAATTATATAAATGTAATTTTTAAGTAATCTTTGACATATTTAAAATGTTTGATATGTTGAATGCTATTAGTAGGAATATTAGCGCTCCTATTGGCAACAGAGAAAAATAATTTTAACTAGACTGAAGTAATTCCAATAGTTGGCAAAACTGTAACAAAATTTGCTACAATATCAGGACGTAGTTTATCTTCGGTTAGGGCATAAAAATTCCGAATTTTCACGTAATAAGGAAACTGGCATCGATTGTTCCTTGTGGTGATCGGTCAAACGAAATATAGTAAAATAAAAGATTATTAATACTTATGTAGAAATAAAAAGAGAAAGTATGGTTTCGGTGATGCAGCCATTCATGGTGAGTCGTCGAGATTAAACTTAGAAATTTGCACCGGTTTTGCTTTTGATTTTGGTATTCTTTAAATCGTATAAGTATAGTTAACTACATTGAATTAAAAATAATTGTTTCATTTTATACTTAGGATGTTGAAAGTTCAAGGAGTTACATCGATGAGCTGTATTCGCCGGATCCTCTTAAATGTTTACAAGCAATTATGTGAGTAAGCGCGAGACTTAACCTCTAATTCCGATTATGTAGAGTTATTATTTCTAAAATATACATTATTTATATGGATTAATTATTTAAATAAATCGTACATATTTTACTTTAAATTCATTTTAAATAAACTGCCATTATTGTGATTAATATGAACTTGACATATATGTTTCATATAAGTCTAACTATCCATGAGATACTTTCTTATAAATACATATAATTTTGTGTATATTTAGAAGTTAAATTAATACTGAATTATTTGTTTTAGATGCCTTAAAAATTCTGTAATTGGAAGCAATAGACAAAAAGGTTCAGTAATAGCGCAAGGTGTAGTGCCTCGATTATTACAATTACTTGGTAATTCATCTGGTCCACTTGCAGAGCGTATACAATTAGAATCGGCTGTAACATTAGGTTCTTTGGCTAAGGGTACCGATCAACATGTCTTAGCTCTTATTGAACTTGGTGTGGTACCATTACTTCTTCAAGTTTTGCTTTCTATGCCTATTTCCGATCCTAATGCAGAAGGAAAAGGAAAACTTTTAGATTCCTTAAATGAAGCATGTTTACGTTGTTTACGTACAGTGTTCCAACACACTTCAGCACCTGTTCATTCTATATACCAGGATCCTGCTTTGGTGCCACGTTTGTTATCGTTAGCAAGTAGATCTGTTACTTGTCAAGTCTGCGTAGCAACTATTTTGACAACAGCATGTAAGGTATGAATAAACGATACGTCTGGCTTTTAATTTTTCTATAAGTAAAATAGAAATGATTTATTTGATATTACTAGACTGCAGAGGAACAAAATGCCCTTTCCAAAGGAGGAGCAGTTGAAACATTAGCGATGCAACTTGATTCGCCATTAGCAGATGTACAATTACCTGCATTGGCTTGTCTTGCAAATATGTGCTATCAAAATCATATGGTATCTGCTATGGTTGCTGCAGCGACAACAAGTAATACTCTTAGGGGTAAACTTGTGCCTGTAGCATTAGGACAATTGATGGGACGTGAAAGAAGTTCATTAGTTCAACTGGAAGCTGCAAGATGTATAGCATACATGCATAGGGCTGGTGCATTGTCGTCTACGGACCCGAGAGTCTTATATCGTGCTTTACCTTGTCTTGTGAGACTTTGTCATAGAGATCGACCACCAAGAGAGAGAATAGCTGCAGCAGAAACTTTAGCTTATCTTACAGAAGTTGATACAGATTTGCAACGTCTAGCTTCTATTAGTAATCATCTCATTCCAACATTAGCCGAGTTACTGAGACCACATTCGCAGGTAAAGGTGATATATTTTCTTCATATAAATTAATATTAAATTTTCCATAAATTGAATTTAATTGAACTTTGTTATAGGTTCAAGATGCGACATTAACGCAAGATATGCGCCAAGCAGCATTTAGAGCTTTTGCTTCTCTTGGTGCTAATGACGAAGGAATTCGAAAACGCATCATTGAAACAGAAAGTTTAATGGAGCAAGTTGTTTCTGGTTTGCAAGATCCTGGAGGTCCTCGAGTTCGATTAGCTGCAGTTAGATGTTTACATTCTCTTTCTAGAAGCGTGCAACAGCTTCGCACAACGTTTCAAGATCATGCTGTGTGGAGGCCCCTCATGCAATTGCTTCATGGTGCAGATAAAGGGTTGGAAGGTATCTTATTATTGTTGGTAATGGTAAATAAATATACAATAAATTTCATTTATTGATCAAATATGAATTTGTTATCATTTCTTCATAGGTAGAACAGAGAGCGAAGATGATTTATTGACTGTTGCTTCAAGTACTTTATGTAATTTATTATTAGAATTCAGTCCAAGTAAAGAACCAATTCTTGAATCTGGTGGAGTAGAACTATTATGTTCTCTTACCAAACGACCCGATCCAGCATTACGACTAAACGGAATTTGGGCTTTAATGAATGTTGCTTTTCAAGCGGAACAACGAGTGAAGTCACAAATATTATCTTGCTTAGGCACTGACCAAATCTTTCGTCTTTTGGCTGACCCAGAATTAGCAGTTTTAATGAAGACACTTGGTTTGCTACGAAATTTGCTTTCTACAAAAGCACATATAGATCGTATAATGGGTGAACATGCTGCTCATTTTATGCAAGCAGTTATATTAGTATTAGAAGATCCAGAACATCCAGCAGATGTGAAGGAACAAGCTCTCTGTATTTTGGCAAATGTAGCTGACGGTGATCGCGCCAGAGATCACATTATGGCTAACGAAGATGTTTTGAAAAAGTTAATGGATTATATGGTACATGTTAGTCATTTTTGTAGATATTAAGGAATAACTAATAAGTATTAAGTATAATTAACTGTTTATATAGTTAAACTGTTATATAGTTTGCTGTATGTAAGATATTTCATTATTATTGTAGATGCACAGCAATGTAAAGCTACAAGTCGCAGCAATCTTTTGCGTGTGCAATTTAGTATGGAGAGAAGAACCCGGAGCAGCACAACGCCAAGCACGTTTAAAAGAGTTAGGCCTTTATCGTATTCTCCAACAATTACGTCATACAAAAGATTCTCAATTATTTGATAAGTATGTCGCCGTTATATATTATAAGTTACTACACTTACGCGTATATTAAGAAGATAAAACATTTATATATGATAGTTTTAACATTATTATCTTCATTTCAGAGTAAAAACTGCCATGGCACAATTCTACGATGCATGAATATTAATCATGTTAATAACGAAGGTTAGATTTTCAATTTGTGAATTTTTTATTTGAATGATATTATTTGATGTAGAATTAATACTGTGATCCTGTGCTTTTGTTAATACATAAGCATTTTAAAGCTACTGAAATAAGGTGAAAATAATACTTGTAAGCCTGAGCTTATAGCTTATTTACACTATATTTATTTAATTTAAAGAAAACAAATTATCTTAGAAAATGAACATATATCCCACGAACATAAAAAGTGAGAGAGGAAGGGATATGGAATGCTGCTTGGTACCTTCTGAGTACTTCACAAACAAAGGTCTGTAATCCAAGTTCTCGATTACAGTAAGGAAAATCAAACATTTAGAAAGATTACGAATACAAGAAAATATGAGAGTGCTTATATACATTCGATGTTTCAATGCATCTTCTGGCAAATTGTACTATAACCTTTACATAGTAATCTCATAATACATTTTATTATCGTGAGAACAAAATTTCTTTCATATATTTTAAATAAATATTTGACAGGTAGACCTTAATAACTATTTGGAGCTTGTATCTTTGGTAGAGAACTTGTATGAAAAATTTATGAAATGGAAATATATCTCTTTATCATGGTTATGTTTAAACCATACATTTTTAAAATATTAAATTTCATTATATTTTTCATTATTTTAAATAGCTTAAATGCAGGTATAGGTTTATGCAATCACTTGATGTTGATTAACAGATGAATATTTTATCAACACTCGATATACATAATGAAAAATAAAGCATCATTCTTTGTCCCGTTTATCAAATGCAACTAATCATCGTTTTGTGACAATACTATATCGACGTCATACAACAAGTTATACGGGTGCATTTCCATCACTACCTAAGCTTTCCATCGGATTATTCGCTAGAGGATCAAGTTCTGCAAATAAATCTAACCATGAATTACCTTTGCTCTTTTTAACCTTATCTTTTTTCTGCAAACAATATACATACATTATTAATCAAATGTGATGTGTGCAAGCACTTGATATGTGGAACATTTGGTATATATCTCAGATATCTTAACATAAACAAATTTACCTTATCATCTGTATTTGTAAGTTGCATATCTTTTTGTCCAACGCCTAGCGTTGCATCACCTAAACTTTGTTTTAATATATTTGGTGGCAAGAATGTATCATTTAATATAGCATCCCACTCATTAGAATTACTTTCATCTTTGTCATTTATTATATCATTTAAAAGTGCAGCATTTTCCGAAGTCAACAATTGTAGCGGTTGAGAACTCTGGTTGCTCTGATTTTCCGATATTGTAGAAGACAGGTCTGTTAAATTAAAACTTGTATCACATATATCAAATACATTCATTGCCAAATCAAGTTCTGACAAACTTTT